AGAAAACAGAGGGCACAGTGAGAAGAGCCCCTCTACGAGAAGGGGCCAAGTGCTGTGAGCATTCGCCTTAAATGTCATCACATGATGAGGCGACTGACCACCAGTTGGTCTGTCTGTCCCTCGAGGAGGCATGAACTGTCCCCAGAAGGGGAGGATCTTAGAACCGAGGGAGGCAGGAGGAGGGAGGGCCAGGTGGTCAACCCCCAGCTTCCCCCAGTCACTATCAACCAGACTTGTCCTCAAACTGAAAACCACCTGCAAGCCCCAGCCCAGACCTGGGCCAGGGTCTCCTCCAGGGCCAGTATTGCCAAACCCTTTAAAGCAGAAGGTGGTGTCCTGACGCTCTTAGCGTCTGTTAGAAGCCTGCATGTTTTCTGGCCTGTCTTCCTGGTATTGTACTAGTTCCTGTCAGATTCCTCTTACCTTAACCATTGTCTTCTAAGAGAGGGCCTCAGGGAGTTGGGCAGCAGCCAGACGACCCAGCCAAGCAGAGTCTGGAACTGCTCAGCTTTCCTTGACAAGCTGATTTCTCTCATTTTTAATGAAAATTACTGTTTAGAGATGTAAACTGTTTGAAGTTTGCAAACCATAACAACCTTTGTAATGACTCCATTCCTTACATTTTTGTTGCTCCAGGCAGGGACAGACTAGTCAGATTATTACAAAAGAAAGCCAATTTTCATTCATTCGCTGCACACTTACTCTCCTTGTGCCACATACTTCACCTGGTGCTTTAGGACTAAAAAGATACATAATTTACAGACTTCAGTATCCATAAGTGTTTTTTAAAAATTTTTTTTAATTGCTCAAGAGAAGCTCGACTACTGCTAAAAATGTCTCTCCTTCTAGGAGGATTTTCATAATCTGATGAACATTTGCACAACACCATTGCAGAGTCCCAGTATTTCTCCAACGGTTGTTTCCCGAGATGCTTTGCAGGAAAAGGGGTGAGAGTGGAGGCACAGGACATCCAGGGATTCCTTTAGGCCCTGTGAAGCAAGTCCACTGTGACCCTTGCATTAGTCTGCTAGGGCTGCCGTAACAAAGTCTTAGATTCTGTGGCTCAAACAAAGGAAGTTTATTTTTTGCAGTTCTGGAGGCTGGAAGTCTGAGATCAAGGTGTTAGCAGGGTTGGTTTCTCCTGAGTCCTCTGTCCTTGGCTCTTAGCCACCTCCTCCCTGTGTCCTCTCATGGTGTTCCCTCTGTGTGTCTGAGTCCTAATCTCTTCTTTTGAGGACACCCATTTTACTGATTTAGCACCCACCTTAATGACCTCATTTTTACTTAATGACCTTTTTAAAGACCCTCTCTCCAAATACAGTCACACTCTTGAGTGCTGGGGGTTAGGACTTAAACATATGAATGGGTGGGGATAGGCACAACTGTAGCCCATGACAGCCTCTCTCCACACTCCCCACTTAGCTTCACAATGCACATGGGTGCATCACTCCAAGATGTCCTCACGAATCCTGACTGATGACTTTTAACTCAGTGTTTCCCAGTTATTTGGCCACAGAGCACTCTTCTCCCAGGACACCCATGAACCTCCGCTGCTAACTGGGGACACCCCTGGGAAACACTAACGTTCTCTGTGGAGGAAGGAGCAGCGTGGCTGATGCCCTACCCATCCATACGGAACTGCTAGTTGTGTGGATATTTAAATTAAAACTGAATAAAACGAAAAATAGGTCTCTGTCTCATTGGCTAAGAACAGTGGCTACCTGATTGACAGGGCAGATGCAGAACATTTCCATTATTGCAGAAACTTCCATTGAAAGGTGCTGGTTTAGACCTTCGTTTCTGGGAAATTCTACCCTGAATTCTGTTTTCGGTGGCTGTCTTTTAAACGTATGTCCTCTCAACTGAACCCTAAGCTCCTGCGGGTAGGAGGTGAGCCAAGGTTCTTTGACTTCCAGCTGCCGGTCAGCATTTAGACACTCCCTAAGCTGTGCTCCTCTGCCAAACACCCCAAGCCCTCCGATCCAGGGTTGCCCAAATTCTTCTCTAAGAATGAGCGGGGTTGGGCTGTGTCCCCACGTGGCCCTGGGCAGGTGGCCAGGGCCCCGCAGTGCGGACACCTCTTCTTTTGCAGAGGATCAGCACGGCGACCGGGGACGGCAAGCACTACTGCTACCCACACTTCACCTGCGCCGTGGACACGGAGAACATCCGCAGGGTGTTCAATGACTGCCGCGACATCATCCAGAGGATGCACCTCAAGCAGTACGAACTCTTGTGAGGCGGCCGGGTGGGCCTGCTCTCCTCCCTCCACCACCCCACCCGGCCGAGCGTTTAGTCCTGGATGCCGTCTGCCCTGCTCTGTGTCTGCTCCTTGTGTGGCCACCAAGCCTCTGGCTACCTCTGTTCCCCTCAGGTTTGGTTTGTAGCTTTTGTTTCCACTGAACGGGGCCTTCCCTCCCCTCTCCACCCCCACCCGTTTGTGTCACTGCAAACCATCCGCCCTCACTTGGGCGACACTGCAGTGCAATTTCTCTGGTTGGGGGCCCCTTGTACTCATCCATTCAGTGATTTATTGATTCATTAAAAACTTGATAGACGGTGGAGAAGCCAGTTCCCCCGGTTACGCAGCCTGACTGTGAGTGAGCCGGCGGTGGCTTCCTGGCTTTCCCAAGCTGCAGGCGGACAGGAGGCCATGCTTCTAATCTGCATTAGCCCGAGAGGTAGGAGGCCCCAGGCCACAGAGTGGCGAGAAAACCTTTTATCAATATTTAGTCTCTGCTAGCCTCAGGCATTTGAATTAGAGCTACTTTGAGCCTTTTTATATTTAGGCAGAAAACCTACCACATTCACTACTGCAAAGTGTGTCCTGTCTAAAAATTATTTTCTAGACTGTCACTATGCTTGGGCAACAGTCTCCTTTCATATAGTCTTTTCGTTGTTGTTTTATTGCTGGTTTATTACACTGTACAGACCACAAAATGTAATATTATTTTGTATAACTACTCAAGACAAATCCTTGTAGATCTGTGCCTTGACTATGGCTACACCTGTAAAAGCAACGTGTTTTCATTGTGCTGAACAGCTAGGTGTCAACGTTACCTGTCGCTTGCTCTGAGAAAGGGAATGAATGTCACCTGTAGAATTTAGGACATTTTATAGGGGTGGTACTTTGAAAACTACTCCTTGATTTTAAAAAAAATTATATATACATTATACACATTATATATATATTATACACATTAATCTTTTACATCTTACAAATAATGCTGTACTAACACCACATGCTTCTTTCAGGGAACACAAGGAACCAAGGATGTTTTTTCTCTCCAAATAATATGTTTCTTGATTTCTTTTGCCATTTAAAGACTTTTACGAGTTCCCTGAGGCAAAGCTTTTGAACCACTTACTTGACCACAGGTTCCATTGTAAACAAATAGGGAGAAAAAGAGGAAGGGTGTCCACACTGGTGTCTGCCTAAGAGAATCAAAGGATGGCCTTTTCCTTTGCCTTTGGAAGAAGAAACATTACAAAACTTTTATTTGAAATATAAAGTCAAAATATATGGCTGTTTCTCAAACTCAAAAGATTTTCAATGTAGCCTCAAAAGTTCTGGCACAATATCGAGAAAGCAAGAATCACTGTAGCAGGGATGCTTTATATTCTGTCCACAGCCACAGCTTTGAGGGTAGTTTCTTTAGGTCAAATGTAATTTGTAATGATGTCTGAAGTTATAGTTCAACAATACAAATCCAGAGAAGCAACAGCCTAGCTAGTCTTTGTTAAGTATTTCAAAGTTTACTCTATAATGTAATTAGCATTTTGATAAACTTATCCGATTTTAAATACTACTACTACTTTAACAGAAAGGATGACCACTTTATAGACAATCAGTGCAACAAACATATCTTATTTCATTATCGCTGAATTCCTGCTTCTCTCATCCTTAACTGATAAAACTCTCAGTTGAACTGAGACATATAAATCAGAACTTATTTTCAGTTTTCAGTGCACTTTCAAAGTAAAATATGAAGAAAAACTGAAGAGATACACTCCTCACATATACACAGAAAAATGAAGGCTTATATTGTTAAATGCATTCTTACTCAACAGCCCCTCCCCCTGTGACTCAACTTCCTTTTTTTTTAAATATATCTTTATTGACTTCAGAGATAAGAAGGGAGAGGGAGAGAGAGAGAGAAACATCAATGATTAGAGAGTCGTCATTGATCAGCTGCCTCCTGCACGCCACCGACTGGGGATCGAGCCCACAACCCGGGTATGTGCCCTGACCGGGAACCGAACCTCAATCTCCTGGATCCCAGGTTGATGTTCAACTGCTGAGCCACACCCGGCCGGGCTCAACTTCTTATTTAAAAGCTTGATTAAAGAAAGAACTAGACTATTAGAAAAAATACCCCCCCAAAATACATTTTTTTTGGCTTAAAATTATCAAAATATTTATTTTTAAATACCAAAAGCCACTTCCTAGTCCATTTTTCAAGTTTATTTTGATCATTGACAAGCATTAAATTCAGATTTAACACGTGGGTCCGCTGAAGAGAAAATTACACTTATCTAAAAATCTGATTCCATTAATGTAGCACAGAAGTACAAAAGTCTGGGTAAACAATATATTCCTGCTCGTAGCATCTGAGCATTTATTTTCAGTGTACAGCTTTATAATATATAGGATTTGAGAATGACTTCGTAGGCGGACAGAAGCAGACCCAGTGTTTGGTTTGTGCACACACCTAACCCCAAGTGTGCTCCAGGGCTGCGGGCTCCCTCTTGGGGAAGGAAGGACTGTCCAGTGCATGCAAGTGATGACATAATAGCGTTTACATATTGTACAGATACAATCTTTGATTATACATACATTTGACAAAATGAGAAAACAGACTTGTTGTAGAGTACATGTTCCACTTTTATAGCATGAGACCAGTACAATCAACTATTTATTCTGCAGTGATTTGCATCAATGATTTAGAATTTCTGTGATGTGCGTAAAGAGTCTCCTCGGGTCTCATCTCACATGAGCACTGCCTGAAGTTCCGTTTCTTTGGCTTTGATATTTATTACTAAATGCAAAAGGTCTTCTGCTCTTCACATTGTCTTAAATTTTCTGAGCAGCTTACAACCAAAATGAAAAGGTGAGGTTAGAAGTCCAAGGTGAACTAATACGAAGGCCACGAGGAAGCCAGCTGCTCCACAGTATGTGATCAGAACCGTGTCCTCACAGGGAAGGTAGCACTTGGCCAGGGCGTACTCTGTGGGGGTTATGCTGCCCTGGAAAGGAAACGAGAACGTTACCAGCAGCGAGAGCTCCACACACAGCTCCAGCACTGCAGCCTGGCTTACAAACCACAGAGGAAAGGCAGCTTCCTTGGCCTGCCGCGGTGAGGCAGGGAAGTGGCTCTCCTCACCTGGGACTTGAGGAGGCTCACCTTCCGCCTGCACAAGCAGCAGGCAGCAGGGAAGTCAAGGGTTCCTCTAAAATATAGTGGGTACACCTGAGAGGTACTTGGAGAGGCATGGAGACTTAGAACAATGGTCGAGGAACAGGTGTGCAAGGCTGTTTTTCATGCCACTTGATGCTAAAGTGAGCAGTCTATCACGTAGATATACATGTGCCAGAGGATCTCAATGGGCTTTTTTTTTTTTTTTTTTTTTGGTAGACCTTTTTGCTATGTGGAATGAGAGTGGGGAATGTTTTCACTTACTACTTTGAGCTTGACAACATCATCTTTTTATGAAGGAGAAGGATCTCACATACAAGCATTATGAACTGGATGCTGCACCCCAAGGGCAAAAAAAAGGAGCTGAAACATCAGGTGGTCGCTTATTGAAATAAAATTCTTTTTTAATCCTCACATGAGGATATTTTTCCCATTGCTTTTCAGAGAGAGTAGAAAGAAGAGAGAAAGAATTAGGAGAGACACATGGATTGGTTGCCTCTCATACTCGCCCCTACGGGGGCCAGGATGGAGCCGGCAACCAAGGTACGTGCCCTTGGCCAAAATTGGACCCTTCAGTCCGGAGGCCGATGCTCTAACCACTGAGCAAACTGGCTAGGGCTGAAACAACATCAACTCGTAAGAGCTGTAGCATTTTTCTGCCAGAGCACATGGGCACGTTTGGAAAATGAGACGAGATGGCCGCATCTAGCTGTGAAGCAATGATCCTGTCTCCTTAAAAAATTAAACAGAGAATCTAATAGAGAGGACACTGCCATCCCTGAAGGATGAAACACTAAGCTGCTGCTCCCCTCAGCCTCCGGAACAGCGCCAGGAAGGGGTGTGGGCCGCGGGCTGCGGGCAGTGTGTCAAACTAAGCGCATGTGGAGTGGGGAAGTCATTTACGGCTTTTGTATATTTTTACAGATCGCAGCAATTAATAGTTGATTACTGTGCTGATTTAAATACTTATGAAAGCTTTGAGACGAAAATAAATGTTCACGTTACCATGATGAAACTGGGGTTGTTTCTGTTCCTCCAACTGAACGACGGCACGCTGAGCTCGGGGATCCCTGCCCCGTGGAGCACCTCGCAGGCGCTGTGCGTGTGGCCGCTCAGGACCAGGCGGGGCCGGAGCCACCACAGCAGCTGCCACCCAGGGGACAGCAACAGGAGGTTAGTGCTTGCACAGAGCCCTGCTGGGGCCCAGAGCCAGGCCCCTGCTGATTTCATCAAGTTAAATACGAAACCCCTACTTCGTAGGACTGCTCTAATTTTTCCTTAAAATCCTTTGGTTTGTTCAGTCTCTATATCAAAAGTAAGTTCAGGCTCTTAGAGAGAATCTGTTCTCCTCGCCCCAGATTTCATTATTTTTATAAAGACTTAATAAATTTATTTCATAAGTGTGTTTTACATTTTATTATGAATAACATATATTATATAAATATATATTTAAGGAAGAGCACTTTAAGTCCCTAAAAATTTAACTTTAAGTTCCATTTACACTTCCAAATACACTGAAGTTGGTGGAAATGTTCTGAATAAAGACTAGCTGAGGATGTTATTAACTGGATATTAGGAAATGGAAGTGGATTTCCTGGGGATGAGGTGGGAAGAACAGAACAATGACAGGGAAATCTAAAATACTGCTACAGCCCAGCCGCCGACCTTCTGGGAGGCCTCCCGAGACAGCGCGTCGTATCTCTCCTTGAAGGGGGTGCCCCTTTCCTCCGGAGGCGCGGCGTCCTCCCCGGAGCAGTTGGCGTCACTTCTCCGGTAAAGCGGAAAATGCTGCCAGGATTTAGAGAGGAGTCAGACCTGGCTTCATGGGACCCTGGGTGGTTCTGCCAAACACCTGGAGCTCCTCTGTCCCCACCTCACCTGCAGGAGGACCGGGGCCGACGCCGGCAGCGGCTGCCCATCCTCGCAGTGGCCGGGGCGCTGCGCCTGCTAGTCAGAAGGGGGTCAGTGGGCCCCCCAAACCCAGAATTCAGAGCATGGTAGGAGGGGGCACGCCGCTGAGAGCCCGACACAAGCACAAAGGGCTCCGGCCCGCTGTGCCTGAGAACGGGCCAGAACACAAGCGCCCGTGCTGTCCAGGTGATCTCCTACCTCTCGGGAGCAGTTCAGTTGGTGGGAAATTTCGATAAGTTCAGCCTCCGCCTCAGAGCAGATGCTGCAGCCGTCCCCCTCCAGCGCGACGCTGTTGACCATCACGAAACTGGGCAGGTGGGAGCAAGCAGAGAGTCAGGGGGCCTCCCGTGCATCCTCACACCACTGTTCCCGGGACTGAAGGGGAGGCATCCACAGGGTAAGAAGCTCCCGGGACAGCTTAAAGCTCAGCTCGCCTGGTCTGTGTGCTCAGGTAGAAGTCGATATCAGGGAAACTAAATAGCATTATTGGGGGTGGAGTCCAAGACGTGGTAAAAGGATCTGTAACCCAGAACTTGTGAGAAGCCAAGTACAGGAGCTCTGAGGACAGACTACCGCTAAGCTCAGCATCAAACCATGCGTTCTTGGGCGCGTTACTTAGTCCCTTTGTGCCTTACCTGAAAAATGGGGATATGAATAGTACACCTAGGCCATCAGCTCATTGTGAGAATTAAATGAAATAATACAACAGAATAGGGCCTGCCACTAGAAAGTGAATGTTAGATATTGTTACCTACAGTGGACTACGGGCAACGTTCAGTAATGTCCATGTACTCAGCAGACAGGCAGGGGTGGGAGGTGGGGTGCTGGTTAGAGTTGACTGGGACAGATAATCCCAAATGAAGTCAATTGTGGTTCTCTTTTGCAACCACTTTAGTTATATTTCCTATAAACTCCCATTAAATATGTTTTTATTTCCTACACACACAAACTGGGCATGAAGAAGTACCTGTCGTAAAGGTTGCTGGAAATGTAAACAATTTTAGAGATGAGGAGCTGACTAATCAAATGGCCCAAAATATGATCAATGTATTTAATTAAAATTTCTTAAACTCTATGCCCAGGAAGAAAAAGCTCAAACTGTGCCAAGTCTCCATTCTGACTCAGGAAAGGAAGCTGCTGGGGACTCTGCCCTCCAGGCAAAGGGAGGGAACAAGGAGCACTTGTGGAGAATCCACTGGATCCTGGTCTCTGGGAGCTTCACATAGATCATATCATTGGATGGGCCCAGTGAGCTGCTGTGGCCAAAGCCAACAGAGTACTGGATACCACAAGAAGGATCTGACCAAAACGGAAAACTTCCTCTCCCACCTTTTCTCTTTCCACTAGGTCTGCAGCTAGAATAATGTGTAGGTACCATCTGGTCTACTGTGCTGCACACACACACAGACGGGAAAGGGTCTAGAGATGGGCACAAAAATTGCCCTGCAGAGGGGAGCTGGTGCTGATGGTCAGACTAAAGGGTTAGGAAGCTTTGATCTAAAAACCAAGGCTGATGGGAGTGGGGGGTAGGCACAGAGCTACAGAGCACAGTGAGCACACTTGCCATCGAATCCTAGGGCCCCATAACCACAGCAACATCCTTTATAAAGGGAAGTAAGTAAACTTTGGGCAAATAAAAAATACTTCTTTACAAAGTAGACTGATGAGATTTATATCACCCAGAGACTGCTGGAAGAAAGAATAAAATTCCCACGGTGTCTAGGCAAAGTCGCAGACTAACCAATTCACTGTGAGTTGTTAGGGAAAACTAGGGTGGTGACCCGGATGAGGCCATCAATGAGGACAGCCTGAGGCACCTTCGTCAGAGACTGTAAACCAGGCCCAACAGACCATGGGTCTGACCCAGCATGGTAGTCACCTTTGAAAAATTAAGTTTTCAAGGACTAAATGACAGAAGAATTCACAAATACTCACTTAATTCCTTTCCATGAAAACAGCCTTTCAGGACTGAAAACTTTCTCAAATCGTTTTATTCTGTATCTGTTCATCCTATATTCAATTGTAAAAAGAAACATTTTTCAAAACAAGCCTTTTTTTTCCAGGATATGTTTATTGATTCTTAGAGAGGAAGGGAGAGAGAGAAGAAACATCCATGTGACAGAGAAACATCAATTGGTTGCCTCCCATATGTGTCCCTACTGGAGACTGAACCCACAACCTAGGTACATGTCCTGACCCAGAATCGAACCTAAAACCTTGTGGTGTAGAGAATGATGCTCCGACCAACTGAGCCACCTGGCCAGGGCCAGAATGAACCATTTTAAAACCTCTTAAGAGTGATCATGAACACACACAAAAACCTTCCAGGATTTGAGCCCCAGCCTAGCATTGTTAGTTCAGAGCTCCAGCTGGCCCCAGGTTATCAAAGTACAACTCTCAGCTCTACTGCTGACTAACCTCGAGGCCTATGGCAAGTGACTTAGTCCCCAGGACCTCAGTTTCCTCACTGGCTCAGTGGGTAAAATAACAGGACCATGGTAAAGATTAAATGAGTTCATGTATGGAAGTAAAGTGCTTAACACAGGTTGGCACATGATAAGCTCTATATAAATATAGCTATTAAAGTCTAAGTCATCTTGTTTTCCGATTCCCACATTAAATAACTGGTCATTAAAGGTAAGTCTCAAGTTAGAATCACCCAAAGGCACACAAAGCATTCATTTAAGAGATCTGTTGAGAGTGTATGATGCACCGAGACAAAAATTCTTGCCCTAATGGAGCTTACATTCCAGAACTTACACCTTATACAAATGTCCCACACACAGCCCAAATAAGGCTTTCACCTAAATTGTAGCAGGTTCAAAATTACACTCAGCAGGGGTGCTCATTCGGCAACACGTTAGTGAGCTACTTACTGATAGTGGAAGCCAATGTCATGGTTGCCAGCAACGACCTTCAGCAGCACATGACGCGGGTGTCTGAACATTTTCTGAAATCTCTCCACATCATCCTCCCAGGCCTGTGGAATAAAATGCTCACTGCTGAGACCCAGAGAAGCTTTACCTTCCTATTTTGATAGTGAGAAGTTAATGCCCCTGTCCAAGTCAGATGTTCATAAAGCTAAATCTAGAACCTAGAATTTCTAATTCTACGTCAAATTCTTTTTCCAAAACTAACTTAATATTTTATTTAATTTGAGGCCAAATTTTAATTAAATGCTATCCCCATCTTAAAACATGAAGTGGCAACCCCCCAAATATTTGGTTCATGCAGCTATTACTTCAAGATCCCCTGAAGACAACACATGGACCCCAACTTGAGAATCACATCAGATCTGGACATGTCATATGAACAGGCTCTGTGGAAAATCTCAAGTAAACTCATGTGACTCCACCAAGACAGGGACAAGCACAGCTTCAGCATTAGCATGTCCCTGTAGCCACAACTGAGGAAGTGAGGCCTGATGACATGAAGGGGTGGAAGGGACAAAATCTAACAAATATTGAGAATTATGTTCATATAGTTATTTTATTAAGCTTATAAATATCAATTGGATACTCTAGAATAGACAATACCTAGTTGAACAGTAATCAACTTTATCCTAAAAGTTTTAAGTATGGCCCAAACTAGGGAAACATGCTGTATAGAGTCCTTCAGTGCATTTAAAAAGATTTCACTCTAACAAATAATATATAGTTAGAATAACATAAAATCAGAATAACATAAAATTAGAAAAACAAAGTGTTGCCCTTAATTTGGAAAAGCAGCATATATATCCCATCTCATTTTATAACTATTTGCTTTTTACACACAGTATTTCCATTATCTCATATTTAATTTTGAACTAGATTATAACAAACATTGCAACCCTATAAACACAGGGTTTCTATCATATCTGGACCAAGACTTTCTTTGTGAAGCTTTTGGATTGTCCTGTGAAGAAATAATGAATTTTTGATATCTTCCCAAAACTATTAGTGACTAAACACTTTTAACTAAGCAGCAAGAAGAGCTCTTTTATTATTATTATTTATTCCAGAAATGTAAGGAGCAAGGCACTGACAGCTAAGGTAAGAACAACCTCTCTTTCCATCACCTCAAAACCCAGACAGAGGTCTCAGGACCCCTGACGGCAGAGGAACCTCACACTAAGCCCCCATGGCTCTTTGTGCACCTCTCCCTCAGAAGACAAAAATAAGATAGTAGCAAGTAACTTGTGTAGCACAGTTCTTATAATCTAGTGGTTAAAAAGGAGTGTAAAGTCAAATTACATTTCAATGTGTATTCTGTAATTTTGGTGACAACTGAAATAGCATTGATCTTGCCAATTTCCCCTTTTCAAGAGGTTCCTGGGAATGTGCACTCCAACAAAGTGATGTCTGGTTAATCGACATATTTCCTACACAGACAAATACAAGGTCAGTCAACCTAACAAGACTGGCATTAGACTCAAATCCTAATCTTCAAGACAGACTATACATTTTTAATATCAGTATTAAGCAAAACTCCCAACCCTAGCTGACATTGCTTCATGCATTTTCTGGGCTACCTGTAGAGGACCCTGTAAGCAGGATTAGGGTGCCAGGATTGGAGGGTCCTACCTGGGAGGTGCTCCATTTCCCTTCATCAAAGATGTCTCCCAAAATGAAGACAACTTCTGGCTGCAGCAGCCACAGAGCCGTCTGGAAGGCTCTCTCCATTTGCCATTCCCTAGAGGCCAATAGGAAAAAGGCATCGCTCTGTTCCTTGGGTGGAGCCTACATCTGTGTTATGGGCCATTTAAAAGCTTAATTAAATGGTTCCATTCCCCTTTGTCTACAGCCCCACCCTCACATTCAAATCCACTGCTTGGAAGGGCCAAGGAGAGAATCCACATCTGATTAAATGTGGGGAGCAAAGGCTCCAAAGGGGAGTCGGGCTGCCTCCCACGCACATCAAAGGCTGACTTCCCCTGTGTGGCGCCCACAGGTCAGGCCCCACACTGCACCCCGAAGCCGTCACTCAGTCATGAGAGCCCCAGGGGTCTGAGAGCTTAATGCAGCTTCCAAAGCTGCCCCATGTAGACTGATGCTGCGCCACACCGAGGAGACGACAGCATCCGGCTTACCCTCCACTTCTTTTTTTTTAATATGTCTTTACTGATTTCAGAGAGAGGAAGGGAGAGGGGGAGAGAGAGAGCTAGAAACATCAGTGATGAGGGAGTCATTGATCGGCTGCCTCCTGCACGGCCCTGACTGGGAATCAAGTCCACAACCCGGGCATGTGCCCTAACCAGGAATCAAACCTCCATCTCCTGGCTTAAGTGAGAAAGTATTTGTTAAGTGCTGGCACACAGTAAGTGTTCAAAAACGTCAGTGCTTTCTCAACCCTACTTCTCTCCTCCCTAACCAACTCTGATGTGTCATTTCCCACAGGATCCCAATTCTTCCCTCCTTTTTAAGGCATGTTCCTGGCTGCTTCTGCCCTGCAAAAGAGGAATGTCCCATCCTGAGCATATAAATAGGAGATAGGACAGAAATTTTTTGGTCAGAGGAGACTTTTTAGGCCCCATGTAAACCTCTGCACGATACAGCTTCACTCAAGATACCTCTTAAAATACATTTGTCAGCTTTTCTTGACTTACTGTTATTTGCCCTGGAGAAGAAAGCATCTAGAAACAGCAGCAGCAATAGAACAAAGAAGACCGATCATAAATAAAGTCCAATTTGTAAGATCCAAACAAAGCCAAAGGAGCTCAATCCCACCCTGGGCTTCTCCATGCCATGCCTCCTCTGGTTTAAAACTATGAATAAAAAAGTATAGCAGCCCCTCCTTCTGCCCTTCTTTCATCTTCTTCTCCCACCCCTGGGGACATCACAGATCTTCCCCTGCCACCCAACCTGAGGTTCGTTTATAACCAAAGCGTTCAGAGAGGCACAAAGGAAGCCACGGTAAGGAAAAGGGGTCACAGTACAGGTCACAGGAGCTATACCTTTTTTTTTTTAGTATGTTTTTTATTGACTTTAGAGAGAGAGGGAAGGAAAGGGAGAGAGAGACAGAAACACCGACTGGCTGCCTCCTGCACCCCCCCCTGGGGAATCCAGCCCACAGCCCAGGCATGTGCCCTGCCGGGGAATGAAACCGTGACCTCCAAGTTCAGGGGCGCACACTCAACCGAGCCACACTGGCCAGGCGGACTATACTTTTTTGCCTACAGAATTTCAGAAAGATTCCTGATGTTAGCTCTTACCTTCGTAATTTGTCTAGCCAGTGGCCTCTTACTTCCCCAAGCAAGTGGGTATCAGCCAAAAACATGGCTTTCAGGACGGGTTCAAGAGTCTTTTGTTCACCTCTTTGGGCTGGAGTTTTCACCTCAGGCCAATTACACTGAAAGATCACTAAGTAATAGATTAAAAATTCACAAAATAGAAGCACAGCAAGGACAAAGGCTACGAGTTTCAACAGCAAGAAACTCCTCCTCTTCAGCCTTCCAAACCCAAATCTGATAGCAGCCATTTCTCCTGCCCAGGAGCTGCCAGCAACCAAGAGCCAGATCCATCAAGAATTCACCATGAGGAAACTGCAGAGTCCTGGGTAAGGTGCAGATGGTGTCCAGGTCTTAGCCATGTACCTACAGGGAACAGGGAAAGGATTGGGTTATGTTTCCCTATTAAGAACTAATGAGTTACAGAATTCTATCTACATTCCCAACTGAATAAATTGTTCTCTGCTCTTACAGTGATATGTCTGATTACCGACAAAAACCAGGTGTGCCAGAATAATGCCATTAGAATTCCTGTCCACTAAGATGATAAAAGTTTATCGCCACTTTGGAAATCATTAAACAAACGTTTATCAGGTGGATGCTTTCGGCGGCAGGCATAATAGGGACAGTCAACAAATATAATTTAAGTGTAATTTAACTCCTAAAAGGAGTCACCCCTTAAAAATAGATTAACCTTAAAAATCAATAGGCCATAAGCCCCCTGTAATGTGAATTGGTGTGAATTCATTATTTTTCCACACTCTTTTCCATGAAAGAAGTGACTGTTCACACACAGTGTGCTTCAGAGATCCAAGCAATGCATTCCACTCGGCTCTGGGCTCAGATGACAGGGTCTGACACAGCCACCATCTCCGAATACTGCATTCAGATTATATATATTTTCACAATATGGGCTTTTCACCTGCATATTAGCCTTAAAACTCTGGATGGCCTTCTGTAATAAGACATTTATGTGCAGTGGTTCTCCATGGGAACCTTTAAAATGTTTATGGATTCATCTGAGTCATAGATGAACTTTGCATCCTATAAAGAAAGTATTTACTTTTGACAGAAACTCTGCAGGGAGTGGTTGTGCAACAACGTGGATATACTCAACACTGCTGAACTACACACTTGAAAGTGGATATGAGAGGACAAGCCTCAGATGGGGAGAAAATATTTGCAAACGACACATCTAATAAAGGACTATTACCCAACATACACACAGAAATCTTAAAACTCAATAAGAAAACAACACAACTGAAAAATGGGCAGCCTGACCGGTGTGGCTCAGCAGCTGAGCATCAACCTTTGATCCAGGAGATCCAGGTTCGATTCCCAGTCAGGGCACATGCCCGGGTTGCAGGTTGGATCCCCAGTAGAGGGCCTGCAGGAGGCAGCTGATAAATGACTCTCTCTCATCATTGATGTTTCTATCTCTCTCTCCCTCTTCCTTCCTCTCTTGAAATCAATATAAATATATATTTTTTAATGGGCAAAAGAGAATAAATCTTAAGTGTTGTCACCACACCAAAAAGCTAACTATGTGAGATGATGGATGTGTTAGTTAACTTGATTGTGGTAATCATTTCACAATCTCAAATCATCACACTATATATTTTAAATATATACAATTTTACTTGTCAGTTGTACTTCAATGGAGCTGGGTAAAAAATTAAAATTAAAAATAAACTAAAAATGGGCCAAAGACCTTAACAGAAACCTCGCCTAAGAAGTATACTGGCAATAAATATATGAAAAGATGCTCCACATTATATGTCATCGGGGAAATGTAGATTAAAACACACCTATTAGAGTGTCCAAATCCAGAAGACAGGTAACACCAACTCTCATTCGTTGTTGGTGGGAATGCAAAACGGCATAGCCACTTTGGAACACAATTTGCAGTTTCTTATAAAACTAAACATACTCTTACCCTATGACCCAGCTGCTTGATATCTACCCAAATGAGCTTAAAGCTATGTTCATACAAAAACCTGCACACAGATATTTCTAGCAGGTTTATTCATAATTGCCAAAACTTGGAAGCAACCAAGATGTTCTTTAGCAGGTAAACAGATAAATAAACTATGTTACATACAGACATATTAATCAGTGCTAAAAAGAAATGAGCTATCAAGCCATGAAAAAAACATGGAAGGACCTTAAATGGACATTACTAAGTGAAAGAAGCCAATGCGAAAAGCCTACATACTGTATGATTCCTCCAATGGACATTCTGGAAAAGGCAAAACTATAAAGACAGTAAAAAGATCAGTGGTTGCCAGGGATTGGGGGCACGAGTAGGAGGTTGGGGGGGAAGAGGAGAGGGATGAACAGGTAGAAGGCAGAGTATTTTTAGAACGATACTATAACCATAGATATACATTGTTATAATAGTCACTAGACATTGTAAAACCCATAGAATGTACACCAAGAGTGGACCTAATGTAAATATGGACTCTGGGTGACTATAATGTGTCCGTGTAGATTCATCAGTTGTCACAAATGTATCACTCTGGTGGAGGATGTTGATAATGGGGGAGGTTGTACATGCGGAGGCAGGGGGTACACAGGAACTCTGAACTTTCTGCTCAATTATCCTGTGAACCTAAAACTGTTCTAAAAAGTAGTCATTAAAAATTGGCAAGATGGTAAGTTTTATGTGTTAAATTATTTTTTTAATTTAAAGTAATTAAATTCTAAGACATGCTACAGCATGGATGAACTTTGAGGACATTATGCAAGTTGAAATGTGCCAGTCACAAGGTGGCAAATACTATGATTCTATTTGCTGAGGAACCTAGAGTAGTCAGAGTCCTAGAGGCAAAAACAGAACGGTGGGTGCCAGTGGCT